CAGCTTTACCAGTTAACCAAACAGTTACATTCAAGGCATGTTGTCTATGTGTAACTGTCACGGTTGCTTGTGTTCTCAACTGAACATTCAAGCCATCAAATGTCCGGTGTCATAACTGATCACATGTGCAGCACCATGGCATCTGCAGATCAAAACAAAGCCAATATGGCAGCTTCCTTGGCTGTTACACATGGGCGAGTTTAGTTTCGCATTAAGCTTTGAAAGTGAAAGCTAGAAGCTGATTGGTTGTTATGTTGATGGAATCGGCTTCTAGCTTTCAGTTTCAAAGACTAAACCGGAACTAAACCACCCAATGCATTACAGCCAAGGAGGCTGCCATCTTATTCAAGCAAAGGAAATTCCTCTGTGTTTCTATGTCTTACTATGTGTGTATCTAGGTGGATCGCCAATACAAGAAATGAAAGTCTCCTCTTACCTGGTGATGTGAAGGGCGGAAGGTTCTCCATCATGACGTCCTTCTACAGATCCTTGTGTCCTATATACACCCACTCCTCTATTGTTCCTATGTCTTTCTATCAGTGGATGTGTGTATCTAGGTGGAACCTCAATACAAGAAATGAAAGTCTCCTCTTACCCAGTGATGTGAGGGCGGCCGCTTCTCCATCATGACGTCCTTCTACAGCAGATCCTTGTGTTCTTCTAAATATTCCCATCCATAAAGAAATATAAAGTGACGTCCTGACACTTTATAGGAACCTGATATACTATGTCTTTATATCAGAAGATGTGTGTATCTAGGTGGATCCTCAATACAAGAAATTAAAGTCTCCTCTTACCCGATGATGTGAGGGGCAGCCGGTTCTCCATCATGACGTCCTTCTACAGATCCTTGTGTCCTTCTATATACTCCCACTCCTTTTTATGTCCAGCACTGCCATAAAGGAATACAATCAAATGCAATAATATAACTGAGAATAATATTCATACACAGTATCTCCCAGAAGTGAGTCCACCCCTCACATTTTTGTAAATATTTGATTCTATCTTTTCATGTGAAATGACACTTTGCTACAATGTGACGTAGTCAGTGTACAGCTTGTATAACATGTAAATTTGCTGTCCCCTCAAAATAACTCAACACACCGCATTAATGTCTAAACCACTGGCAACAAAAGTGAGTCCACCCCTAAGTGACAAGGTCCAAATTGGGCACAATTAGCCATTTTCCCTCCCCAGTGTTATGTGACTCATTAGTGTTACAAGGTCTCAGGTGTGAATGGGGAGCAGGTGGGTTACATTTGGTGTTATCGCTCTCACTCTCTCATACTGGTCACTGGAAGTTCAACATGGCACCTCATGGCAAAGAAGTGTCTGAGGATCTGAAAAAAAAGAATTGTTGCTCTACATAAAGATGGCCTACATCAGTGGTGGGCAACCTTTTTTTTCAACTGAGCCAAATCTCGCCAAAACCACGATTGAAATTTATTTTGAGAGCCACATTTTTAAAACTGAAAATACATCCCCCATATAGTAATTCATCCCCCATAGTAATTCATCCCCCATATAGTAATTCATCCCCCATAGTAATTCATCCCCCATATAGTAATTCATCCCCCATAGTAATTCATCCCCCATAGTAATTCATCCCCCATATAGTAATTCATCCCCCCTATAGTAATTCATCCCCCATATTGTGTCAATTCACTTACCTTTGCTCCGCACGTTCCTCTCGCCGTGTTCCCGCGCCGTTCCGGTCTTCAGGGCGGACTGTGAGAGGAGAGGAGTTCGTCACGCTGCCCCGCCTACATCCTGACAGCCAATGTTTGCCACGCTCCGCGGGATTAAAAGGTCCGCCGGGCCGTAGTTTGCCCATTGCTGAGCTAGCTGCAGAGTCCTGACTTTTGGGGCGGCCGCCCGAGAGGAGGGAGGGGAGCGGGCGCCCGGCACACAGAAGAGCCGCATTAAAATGTGTAAAGAGCCGCATGTGGCTCGCGAGCCACGGCTTGCCGACCACTGGCCTAGATGATAAGAAGACTGGCAAGACCCTGAAACTGAGCTGCAGCACGGTGGCCAAGACCATACAGCGGTTTAACAGGACAGGCTCCACTCAGAACAGGCCTCACCATGGTCAACCATAGAAGTTGAGTGCACGTGCTCAGCGTCATATCCAGAGGTTGTGTTTGGGAAATAGACGTATGAGTGCTGCTAGCATTGCTGCAGAGGTTGAAGGGGTGGTGGGTCACATTTACAACAATGGACCCCAGCAACAAAATATCACCCCAGCAACAATGGACCCCCAGCAGCATCAATAGCCTCTCCAGCAGCCAGGAACAATATACCCCTCCCTCAACAGTATTTATTTATTTCAGGTACTTATATAGCGCCATCAATTTACGCAGCACTTCATAAATGTATTGTACATTCACATCAGTCCCTAACCCTCAAGGGGCGTACAATCTAAGGTCCCTAACTCACATTCATACATACACATATTAAGGACAATTTAGACAGGAGCCAATTAATCTACCAGCATGTCTTTGTAGTGTGGGAGGAAACCGGAGTACCCGGAGGAAACCCACGCAGGCACAGGGAGAACATGCAAACTCCAGGCAGGTGGTGCCATGGTTTGGATTCGAACCAATGACCCTAGTACTGCCAGGCGGAAGTACTAACCATTTAGCCACTGTGCTGCCCATAACAATAGATCTCTCACCAGCAACAATAGACCCCTAACTCAACTATAGATATTTTCCAGCAACAACAGATCCCCACCAGCAACAACAGACCCCTAACTCAACTGTAGATATTTTCCAGCAACAATAGATCCCCCACCAGCAACAACAGACCCCCTAACTCAACAGTAGATAGCTTCCAGCAACAAAATATCCCCTTCTGGCAACAACAGGCCCCTAACTCAATCGTAGATATTTTACAGCAACTATAGATCCCTAACAGCAATAATAGACCCCTAACTCAACCATAGATATCTTCCAGCAACAACAGATCCCCCACCAGCAACAACAGACCCCTAACTCAACGTAGATATCTTCCAGCAACTATAGATTCCTAACAGCCACAATAGACCCCTAACTCAACGGTAGATATCTTACAGAAACAATAGATCCCCCACCAGCAATAACAGACCCCTAACTCAATAGATATCCTTCCAGCACAACAGACCCCTAACTCAACCGTAGATATCTTCCAGCAACAATAGATCCCCCACCAGCAACAACAGACCCCTAACTCAACTGTAGATAAGCTCGTAAGAGTAGGGCAACAACATTGTTTGTTGTTGTTGACTGTGCCATGTATTGTCCCCCCTATTGTACAGCGTGAGCAAACCCTTTGGCAGCAATATAAACACCGTAGTAATAATAATAATAATAATAGATATCTTCCAGTAACAACAGACCCCTAACTCAACAGTAGATATCTTCCAGCAACTATAGATCCCTAACAGCAACAATAGACCCCTAACTCAACCGTAGATATCTTCCAGCAACAACAGATCCCTAACTCAACAGTAGATATCTTCCAGCAACTATAGATCCCTAACAGCAACAATAGACCCCTAACTCAACCGTAGATATCTTCCAGCAACAACAGACCCCTAACTCAACAGTAGATATCTTCCAGCAACTATAGATGCCCAACAGCAACAATAGACCCTAACTCAACCGTAGATATCTTCCAGCAACTATAGATTCCTAACAGCAACAATAGACCCCTAACTCAACGGTAGATATCTTCCAGAAACAACAGACCCCTAACTCTACCATAGATATCTTCCAGCAATAATAGATCCCCCACCAGCAACAATAGACCCCTAACTCAACGGTAGGTATCTTTCAGCAACAATAGATCCCCCACCAGCAACAACAGACCACCATGCAAAAATAGATCCCCTCCAGTGTCAATAGATCTCCCACCAGCCAGCACCTGGTTGTTGCCATTACATACATTCAGTGCTGGAGGTGCCAGAACTGCCTCCCCGTGTCCCCGCTGAAAAAAAAAGCCCTGATGGTATCAATAAACAATAATTCTAATGCCACAAGCATTTGCTTCTCTCATGTACCAAGGTACACAGGTGGCATCTTTTGGTAGAATAAACCCCATCCAATGTGCCTCCATCAGAGGAAGATGAGGATGTGTGGTGGTGACATGATCCCCCCCATCCAGTCCACACACAGTGCTGGGAACCCCTTCTCTCATAATAAGAAGACATTATTACCTCCTCCTCCCTGGGCTCACATTCTCCACTCTCACACCCCCACCAGGAGCATTTTTTTTTTTTTTTGCTAAACCCCACCCCTCCTTTCGCCTACTATGGTCTACAACAACATGGCCGACCACCCTACAGCACTGGGGACACTCCTTAATACACAAGGTCGCTTTCTAGTGGTGATTCGGATTCTACACTGGAATAAGCGACTGTCACTGTGTAGGAGTTGGTCCAGGCGATCGGCTGGGTGTCACTATGGCAACCAGGAAGCAGCTGGGCAGCCATGGAACGCATACATCTGACGATGAGCAACCACAGGGCGGAAGTGGGCGGTAATTAGTGATATTTGGAGACGGGGCTGTTCAGGGCAGAGTGGGGTTGCTGGGGGCCAGCATTATGATGAATAAATACCGTCATAAGGAGTGATTCATTAATCCTGCACCCTCCAGAGGATTAACCCCCTCGCACCTTCCTGACCAGGCCATTTTTTGCGTTACAGCGCTGTGTTACTTTAACTGACAATTGCGCAGTCATGCAACGCTGCAACCAAATGACATTTACGCCTTTTTTTGCCCACAAATAGAGCTTTCTTTTGGTGGTATTTGATTGCCTGTGCAGTTTTAAATTTTTTGCGTTATAAAAAAAAAAGCGAAAATTTTGAGAAATAAACTTTTTTGACTTTTTGCTATTAACCGCCTCCTGCCCACCATATAAGGTAATGATGGGTGCAAGGCGGTTCTCTCATTCTGGGAGGACGTCATATGATGTCCTCCAACTGTAACCACACATGCACGGCTCCGGGGCCACGCAGCGCGGTGATCGGCGGTGCGCCGTGTCCCTCGGACACAGCAGATCACTGATCAACAGAAAGAGCTGAAGATGACGGCTCGGTCATGTGATCAGCTGTGTCCAATCACAGCTGATTGCATGTAAATAGGGAAATGCCAGTTATCGACATTTCTCTCCTCCCGAGCTGTCACACTAGCAGAGGAGGGAGAGCCGGTAATCAGCATTCCGTGGAGGGGACATCTACACTGATCATCAGGGCAGTGATGATCAGTGTAGCCCCAGCAGTGCCACCTGTCAGTGCCCATCAATGCCACATATCAGTGCCCATCTGAGCTGCCTTTCAGTGTCACCTATCAGTGCCATCTATCAATGCCAGTCAGTGTGACATATCAGTGCTGCCAGTCAGTGCCGCCTATCAGTGCGCATCAGTGCTCCCTATCAGCGCCGCCTAACAGTGCCAGTCAGTGCCACCTATCAGTGCCAGTCAGTTCTGCCTATCAGTGCCACCTATCAGTGCCATATATGAGTGCTGCCTTTCAGTGCCCATCAGTGATACCTGTCAATGCCCATCAGTGCCACCTACCAGTGCCTCCTCATCAGTGCCCATCAGTGCCACCGATCAATGTTCATCAGTGCAGCCTATCAGTGCCCATCACTGCAGCCTCATTAGTGTACATCAGTGAAGGAGAAAAATCACTTATTTACAAAATTTTTTAACAAAAACTAAGAAAAAACTTTTTTTTTTTCAAAATTTTCAGTTGTTTTTGGTTTGTTTAGCAAAAAATAAAAAACCCTGAGGTGAATAAATACCACCAAAATAAAGCTCAATCTGTCTTAAAAAAATGCTAAAAATTTCATATGGGTACAGTGTTGTATGACCGTGCAATTGTCATTCAAAGTATGAGATTGCTGAAAACTGGAAATTGGCCTGGGCAGGAAGGGGGTATAAGTGCCAGGTAGGCGAGGGGTTAAACATGTCCAGTAAAAAAATTTTAAAAATCAAATTTCATAATAAATTTGGGCCATCATGTATTCTGCTCCGTCTTTGCTAAAAAAAAATCCCAATACGTGTAAATTAATTGGTTTATGTGAAAGTTATAGCGTCTACAAATAGTGGTATAGATACTGAAATTTTTATTTTTTACTAGTGATGGCGGTGATCAGTGACTTATAGCAGGACTGCGGCGGGCATTCTGACACTGGAGGGGAACTGACTTGGTGTCACTGACATCCCCAGTGACATCAATACAGTGATCAGTGCATTTTATTAAAAAAGCACTGACACTGTACTAATGGCACTGGGCAAGAAGGGGTTAACATGAGGGGCGATCAAAGGGTTAACTGTGTGCTGTGCTTTACACTGTAAGCACACTGCTTTGTATGACTGTGCTATGTAGAGCGATACAAAGCAGTGTGCAGGAGCTGACACGGGAGAGAACTGTGTTGTTTACATCCTGTTCTCTCCCCCGTCGGTAATCCACCTCCATCACCAGGTGCCGGCGAGTAATCAGCGGCCGGGACCCGGTGGTTGACAGCCGAGCCCACGAATATCAGTATCCCTACCCAGAAATGCAATATCACGTATATATACATGATTTTGCGCACTGTGCTGCCCTGTGGCAGTATTTCTGCTATAGCCCAGAGGTGTTCGGCGCCCAGAGACATGGCCAAGGTAAGGGAGGCTGAAACCTGACCACCACTGAACAAGACACGAGTTGAAACGACAAAACTGGGCCAATACATATCTGAAGATGGATTTTTTCAAAGGTTATATGGACTGAGGAGATGAGAGTGACTCTTGATGGACCAGATGGATGGGCCCGTGGCTGGATCAGTAATGGACACAGAGCTCCACCTCCACTTAGACACCAGCAAGACACCTCCACTTAGACACCAGTGGTGGTGGGGTACTGGTATGGGCTGGTACTATTAACCCATTGGATCTGACACCTCCCAGCCCTTTAAGGGTTTCAGAAGCCAAGAGGCGGGGCGGGGTTTAGGGTCATGTGACCGCAGTGACGCGCAGTCACAGCGGTCACATGATCGGGAAAGGTCCCGATCGAAAGAGGAGATTGGGACCTTTCCGTCAGTACCGGACGTGTGCTGGGAGCGCGCATGGAGCACGCTGATGAGAAGAGAGTGACTCTTGATGGACCAGATGGATGGGCCCGTCGCTGGATCAGTAATGTAGAAGTAAAGTCATGTGCCCATTACTGATCCAGCCACGGGCCCATCCATCTGGTCCATCAAGAGTCACTCTCATATCTCATCAGTCCATAAAACCTTTGAAAAAAATCTGTCTTCAGATATCTCTTGGCCCAGTGTTGACGTTTCAACTCACTTTCTTCAAGCAGTAGTACAGGAAAAGGTTTGCATCTTTCAAGAAGACCATATTTATGCAGGACAATGCTCCATCATATGCATCGAAGTACTCCACTGCGTGGCTAGCCAATAAAGGCCTTAACCACCTCCCTTCCAGCCGTTGTATATAAATGGCCAGACGGTGGCAGTGCAGGGTCGGGTTGCCTTTATAAACGGCCTCCCTGCCTCCTGCTTGTGCGCGCTCCCTGAGAGCGGGCAGCACTGCGATCCAGTGCCCACTGTGTCCTCCGGAACACCTGTGCGAGGTTCCAATCATGTGATCACTGATTGGCCAATCAGTGATCACATGCAGAGTAGTAAGCAAGATGTCACTTCTGACATCATTGCTTACTACGTGTGAAATCTGTGAATGATCACAGAGGTTACATGGTACAGGGCTATTCACAACAGCCTTGTACCATGTGACAAGCTGTGACCAATGACAGCTCAGACAGTAGTTCTCAATGGCTGCAAGAATGCAGCCAGAGAGAAGGAGAAATGATTGCTTATACAGCCTTTATGGGTGTAAAAGCAATCAGTGTACAAAAAAAAAATCTTCATCACCCGCCACAAGTAGTACAGTGTCACTATGGTGACACTACTGCTAGGGTGACAGTATGTAAAAAAACAAAACAAAAAAACCCCCCATAAAATAATAATTTACAAAAATAAAATAAAAATGTAAAAAAAATGTTTAAAAATTATAATTTTTGGTTATAAACTAATTTGGGTTAATTTTGTTTTTACTAAAAAGACAACGGAATAAATTTTAGCCAAGATGTATGATGAAATATTATTTATTTGCTAAATTTTATAAGAAAAACACTTTTTTTTTTGGACTATTTCATTTACATAGCAAAAAAAAAAAAAACCATCCCAGCGGTGAATAAATACCACCAAAATAAAGCTTTATCTGTCTCAAAAAAATGGTAACAAATTCATATGGGTACAGTGTTGCATGACCGCGCAATTGTCAAAGTGTGATAGCACTGAAAGCTGAAAATTGGCCTGAACAGGGAGGGGGAGAAAGTGTCTGGACTGGAAGTGGTTAAAGATGAAAGAATAATGACATGGCCCCCTCCTCACCGGACCTAAACCCTATTGAGAACTTGTGGGCCTTTCTTAAAGGGAAGATTTCCGGTGAAGAAAAACAGTACACCTCTCTGAACAGTGTCCAAGGGCTGTGGTTGCTGCTGCACAAAAAGGTGATCATCAACAGATCCAGAAACTGAGAGACTTCATGAATGGAAGGCTTATGACTGTTGGTCACCAATTTTTTTTTTTTTAAATGTCAGAAATGTTTATTTGTATATTTTGAGTTGTTTGATTATTATTCTCACTGTAACAGATGAACAAGTGAGATGGGAAAATGTTTGTTTTTCATTCAGTTGCATAATAAATCTGCACACTAATAGTTGCCCAATAATTGTGCACACATAGATATTCTCCTAAGAAAGCCAAAACCTCACTTTTACTTTCTTAAATATTCAGGTTTGAGGTTTATTAACAGTTTTGGATTGAACGAGAGCAGCTGGAGTTGTCCAATAATGAAATGAGTCCTCAAAAACAGAAGTTGCCTATTGTGCACACGGATAATTGTGCACACGGTGTAGATGTGTGTCACGTAGCAGGTTGGAGGCCAAAGTGACGAGGGGGCTTCCTTTGCTGCTAAGTTTCGAGCACCCCTGGAGGTGAGGACAGGGAATGTGGGGCCCAAACAAGCACGGGTTGCCTGCTGGAGAGCGCTCATGGTGATGTCTGGCCGGAGAGTTGCTGGACAGGGTGTCCAGGAAGTCGACTTTGGTACTGGTATAGCGTCCTCTTAGTTTAGGTGCTAGAAGTGAGGCACATCAGTGAAGGACATAAGTGGAGACATACCCATGGTTTGCCTATTCTGAGTTCTTCAGCTGCAGGCTGGACTGTCTCCTCCTGTCTTTCCAGAACTTTCTGAAAACATAGTGAGCAGGAGAGGGCAGCCAATCCCTGGTCAAGAAGAAAATGGTCAGCAAGGGGCTGAGAGTGGTATATAAGGGTGGGAGCAGAGAATAGAGGGGTCTTTCACTGGCTGGAGACTGACTCAACCTGGAAGTGCTGTTAACTACTTGCCAACCGCAGATAGAATGACGGCTACACTGCGGCCGGCCAGTTCTGGGAGGGTGTCATATGACGTCCTCCCAGAATGTGCTCTCTTGCGCGCCCCCGGGGGCGTGCAACCGGCGATCTCTGTGATCGCTGTGTCCTACAGACACAGCTGATCACATGATGTGGTAAAAGGCCAATCACAGCGGCCTTTTACCACGTGATCAGCCGTGTCCAATGACACGCTGATCACCGGGAAATGCAATTGCCGGTTCTCGGCTGCACCTTCCTTGCGCCGTCAGAGCGCGAGTAAAGTTCTGCCGAGAACCAGCAGTTGTCAGAGCAGGGATCGGCACTGATCATCAGGACACTGATGATCAGTGCCCAGCAGTGCCACCCACCAGTGCCCAGCAGTGCACCCACCTGTGCACACCAGTGCCACACACACCTGTGCCCAGAAGTGCCACCTACCTGTGCCCAGCAGTGACATCCACCTGTGCCCAGCAGTGACATCCACCTGTGCCACCCACCTCTGCCCATCAGTGCAGCCCAGCAGTGCTGCCAGTCAGTGCCCAGTGGTTGTGCCAGTCAGTGCTCAGCAGTTGCGCCAGTCAATGCCTAGCAGTGCCGCCAGTCAGTGCCCAGCAGTGATGCCAGTCGGTGCCACCTATCAGTGCTGTCTATCAGTACCCATCATCAGTGCTGCCTATCAGTGCCACCTATCAGTGCCGCCTATCCGTGCCACCTCATTAGTGCCGCCTATCAGTGCCCTTCAGTGCTGCGTATCAGTGCCCATCAGTGCCGCCTATCAGTGCCCTTCAGTGCTACCTCATCAACGCACATCAGTGAAGGATAAAAATTACCTGTTTGAAAAATTTTATAATAGAAACAAAGAAACTTTTTTTTTCACTTTTTTACACTTTTTTTGTTTATAGCACAAAAAGTAAAGTGCCCAGCAGTGATTAAATACCACCAAAAGAAAGCTCTATTTGTAAGAAAAAAATTATAAAAATTTGATATGGGTACAATTTGCATGACCGCGCAATTGTCATTCAAAGTGCAACAGCGCTGAAAGC